ATGACCGCGCAGCCGGTGTCCGCGCGTTGTGAGGGGTGGGGGGGGGGGGTGAAACTCACCCTGTGTGTGTGTGTGTGTGTGTGTGTGTTTTATATTTAGCCTCTGTGATTAAAATCTACTTATCATCACCTGCAGGTTTTATTGACACTCACTGGCAGTGATTGAAAGGTCAGAGGTCACGTGGAATTAAAGGCTAAGTTTGGATCTTTTTTCAGCTGTCACTACATGGCGTGCTGACACACAGCCACAGGTGACAGCGGCGAGGGCCGACGCCAAAGACGCCAGGAATATTTAAAAAATGTAAACACTGAGTTCAAACACTGACTGCCAGCTGGAAAACATCTGTTTCACAAAATATTCCACATTTTCTCTAAAAGTAGAATCTCCCACTGTGCGCACACACACACACACACACACACACACACACGTCCTCCTTTGTTGACGCTCCTTAATTTTTTTTCACTGCAACGTTCAGCATCGTGAGGGCGCCACTGAGACGACCGCTGTGAGCTCACCTTCTGGTCGTCCTTATCAAACACCACACACACACACACACACACACACTGTTACTATTCACATCTCAGAATGAGCGAGAACGATGGAGAGACATAGAGAGACAATAGTGAAAGTTTTATGGGTTTTACTGCAGGTAACATGGGCCTGTCTGCGCTCTACGTGTGTGTGTGTGTGTGTGTGTGTGTATTTTATAGCTACCACCTCATTCCACTATTGTACTTTATGGACAGTTTAAAAGGTGTGTGTGTGTGTGTGTGTGTGTGTGTGTGTGTGATTCGCCCACAGGGACGAATCAACAGCCTGGTTTCTTTCATTTCTGCTGCTGCTGTTGGGACTCACTGAAGAAACAGTTCCATTTCTATCAGTGGCTGAGTTCCACTCCCTTCACAGGAACCCTGAGTCAAAACAAGGACAGAAATAAAATATAAGGAAGCTGCAGGAGGAAAAGGAAGAGAGGGAGAGGGAATTAAGAGGGAGGGAGGCAGAAAAGGCAGAAGGAAAACGAGGAAGAAGAGAGGATGGTGTCATAGAAAAATAATAAATGAACCCAGGAGGTAGGAAGTGGAGAAGGGAAGGACGCAGAAAGAGGAGGGGAAAAGGAAAGGAAGAAGCAAAGGAAGGGCAAAGTGATGAATGAAGGAGGTGGAGGGTGAGATAGTAAGTCTGCAGCAGCTTCTTCCTCTCCTCTTATAAACATCTCTCCTTCTACTGTTTCCTCCTCTTCACATTTTCCACTGGAAACTCTCCACTCTGCCAGAGTCCCCCGTGCCCCCCCCCCCTTTCATCCCCCCTTCCCTGGTTTCACTGGTTTCCTCGTCTCCAACTTTTCCCCTTGACCACCACCACCACCACCACCAGGCCCATTTTACCCCGTTTACAGCCTCAGACCTCCACTCCTCTTCTCTCTTTCTCCTCCTGGAGAATATGAGTGTTATCAGAGGAGCTGTGCCATGTAACAATGGCCTCCTTTCTCCTCTTCTCTCTCCTCACTTCTCTCTTCACCTCCACAATGAGCTGCTTTCTTCCCCCTGAGGCTCTGCATGCCTCCTTCTCCTCATCATCATCATCTTTCTCCCCAACTCATTCTTGAATCCTGAAATTTTGAGGCAAAAGTCTAGAAGGGAATCATCCCTGCTAACCTTTAGCTAGTTCTGAGCTAACTCTAACTCACACTATGTTGTGTCCTTGGGTCCTTGTTCTCTATGGTTTACTTTAGGTTTTCAACCTTTGTTTTGCCTTTTGGCCTTTTTACTTTGGTCTAAGAAGTTTCTATTTTTACCCTTTTGCTAATGTCGGTCCTTCTTTAGCAGCATAATGGTCTTTGATGCTGCGTTTGTTCTTTCCAACCCTGGACTTTACAGTGTCTTTAACTCGTTGACCTTGCTCCTCCTGTTGAAGCTCCTGAGCAGAAATCAGCTGACTCCCTGCTCTTCCTCTCCACATAAATCTTCAGAACACAGCTTTCCTCTCTGGGTTTTTCTGGGCTCAGCTGTAGCTCTAACCTTGGCCCTGGCGGTTCCTCAGAACTCCAGGGATGAAGAACCTGAGCTCTGAAGAAGCAAGATAACCTTTAGGTCTCAAACATCTCCTCCTGTTGATGCCAGGAGGAGACCGGAAACATTTGACCTGACATTTCACACCATGTGAAATGTTTTTGTTTTTGACTCCATGAGGAGGTGGAAGGAACTGTGGGTTTGTTTTTCTTTTTTTGCCAATTAGTCTGGAAGCTTGACGTTATGAAACTGCTAAACAGGATCAGAAATATTCTGTTATAACAGTAGATGTTTTGATACTAATTAAAGGGACATTTTGAATCTTTTCTGTGAATCAGGATCATCAGAGTATTTTATTTATCTGTATTTATCACTAAATTTGGGCTAATTTCATTGTTTTTGCTCTGTTTTTAGCTCATTTTATTTGTGCTAAATTATTATATATATTATAAACATACACAGTGAAATAAGTGATTTAAAGTCCACCGAAATTAAATAACTCTAATTATGCATAGCTCTCTCTCTCTCTCTCTCTCTCTCTCTCTCTCTCTCTCATTCATATTCACACATAAATCCACACAGACGAGCAAATGTGACCTGTGCCGTTCGGCCTCTTCAAGTTAATTCTGCGGCTAATAAATCCTATGTGATAAATTATGCAGAGGGGACCCTCCCCAGACACATCATTAACACAGATACACACACACACACACACACACTTGCCAACAAACCACAGAGACAGACAAATAAACCCTTCCAGAAAACAAACATTTACAAAGTTCCTAATGAGGAAAAGGACACTCTCTGATGATGTCACCGGATGATGTCATGTCTCGAACAAAGGTTTCTAAATGCAGAACAGCAACGTGTCAACAATGATGTTAACTAAACTTACTTGAAAAAGAGTGAAACAAATACTAGCTTCGTGTAGCCTAGCCTTGATAAAAAAACATTTTTAAACTTGATTAAAATTACAAAAACTGCTCAAATGTCAGCCAAACGTTTTACCCAGGAAGGAGCTCAAGTATTGACCAGAATGTTAAGCCATACTGTAAATTAATGAAACGTCAGAAGAAAATACATTTTCTTTTTATTTCATTTAAAGTTTCACTGCATTTCTTTTTCTGTTCCCATACTCTTGTTTTATTTGTTTTATTAATACAGATGTGTTAATGTACATTATATATAAAATGTACATGTCCATATATATGTGTCTACCATATACAGTATATGGACTACTACCACATGTTTTTCAAACATCCCTGTACTTCCTGTTTCCTGTGTCTGCAGATCTCAGAGATGGGAAAAGACTCCCTTCCAGCCTGGCTTCACTGGGACTCCAGCACAAAGACCCTTCAGGGTCTTCCTCTGGATGAAGACAAAGGTGTCCACTACATCTCCGTCTCCATCTCCAACCACATCAAGTCCTCCTCGTCGACCGAGGTCTTCTCCATCGAGGTCCACCCCGAAGATTATATGGACGCAGACACGGCCCAGACATTGTCTTCCAATCAGACCTCATCTGAAAACGACAACTACAGCGACGTCCAACCGTTCATCTGCAGGAACGAGGAACCCGTGACACTGCTAACGGTGATCTTGGATGCAGATCTGACCAAGATGAGCTCCCAGCAGCGGGTGGAGCTACTGGAGAAGATGAGAAGGTTCTCAGAGGTGGGGCTTCAGCACATGAAGATCCTCCCTGTGGTCAACAACAGGCTCTTTGACATGTCAGCATTCATGGCCGGACCAGGAAATGCTAAGAAGGTGAGACACCTTAAAGCCACATATAAACTTAATGGAACCAGGAGCTGAAGTACTGGGGACCAGTTTGTAAAATTCAGTCTAACCTAAAGAACCTAGACGACTCTACAAGACAAGTTGCTGGTTTTCATAGCTATAAGTTAACAAATATTTTTGAGCTAATTAATCTTTTGATTGTTTGTGCTACTTTTAGCTAAATGCTAGCTGTGTTTGCCTTTCTTTATTTATATTTTTGATCTGTACTTAATTTGTCTTTTGCTAGATATAAATTACATTTTATTTTTGAACTATAACCAATTTATAAATTATTGTGCTGTTGATGATATCTGATTAGCATGTAGTTTCGGAAAAAGCTGTTTTATTTCCTCAGTTTTTGCCTTATATTTTTACTATTTTAATCCCATATTTGTCTTAATGTTTAACCTATTACTATTCTTACTTTTGAAGTAAGTGATTTATAAAGTGATTTATCTTCAAACTTACCTGCGGTTCTTTTAATGACCTCTACCTTTTTGTACCCTTTAAAAAAGAAAACCAAGTCCACCCATACTTGTTGTTATAGTTCATAGCAATCATGGATCTAATGCATCACTTACGGATAATTATCTGATGAGACATAAACCTAACGAATTGTTTCTCTTCAGGTGGTAGAAAACGGTGCTCTGCTGTCCTGGAAGCTTGGCTGCTCTTTGGACCAGACCTCGGTGCCAAATATCAAGAATGTTCAGAGTCCAGCAAAAGAAGGTACCATGTCAGCCAGCCTGGGCTACCCAGTGGTGGGCTGGCACATCGCCAACAAGAAACCCCACACGCCTAAGAGGGTGAGAAGGCAGTTGAACAACACTCCAACACCCGTTTTAGCAGTGCTGCCTCCAACAACAGCAGTGGAGCCCCCTGTCAGAATTGTTCCTACCTTGTCCTCACCATCCATTGCTGCACCCACTGAAAGCTCTGCTCCCCCTGCAAGAGGTCCTGTTCCACTTCCTGGAAAGCCTACGATCAGAGTCCGTGACCCGATTGCCCACACCCCAACATTAGGACCCCCTCAACCAACAAGGGTGATGGAGACCACTAGCACAATCCCTATCCAGCCAACAGTGACCAGACCTACCTATGTTGAGGCCACAGCTACACCATCCACACCTACCAGAAGACCTACCAAGAAACCCAAAAGACCCAAAACCACTCCTTTCCCAAGGGAGCCAAAGACTTCTACAGTGAAACCCTCAGCCCGTACCATTCCTCCTCTTGTCGTCATCCCTGATCCGTACAACCAGAAGCCAATCTTGAGTAACCCCTTGGACCAGGTTGATGCTCTGGTCGGAACCTACTTTGAGGTTAAGATCCCATCAGATACATTCTTTGATAAAGAAGATGGCTCGACCGAGAAGCTGCGTCTCACCCTGAGGCAGAACCACAACGAAGCAGTGGGAGAAGGCTCCTGGATTCAGTTTAACACCACCAGTCAACTTCTCTATGGCCTTCCTGATGTCCAACATGTAGGAAAACATGAGTATTTCATGTACGCCACTGACAAAGGTGGCCTTAACGCCATCGATGCCTTTGAGGTCCGGGTGAACCGCTGGCCCACAAATGACAAGACTCCAGTGACCTTCACGGCAAGATTTGATGGTGAACCACGGATGGTCACTCATGACATTCATAAGAAAATCCTCTTAGTGAAGAAGTTGGCTTATGCCCTTGGGGATCGCAACAGCAGCACAGTAAGTCTCCGGAATATCAGCAAAGGGTCCATCGTGGTTGAGTGGACTAACACCAGCCTCCCACAGCATCCATGTCCAAAGGAGCAGATTGCGATCATGAGCAGAACATTAGGCAATGCTGATGGAAGGCCCTCACAGACCTTCAGATATGCATTAGAGCCTGAATTTAGACCACTGGACGTAAAGGTCAAGGGAAGGGCAAGCTGCAGGATGTATTCGTTTATCCCACCAGGAGAGGTTGACCTACCAGAACCTCCTGCTGTCACCCCCGGACTTGGAACGAGTAGGCACAGCACAGATGACGTGTATCTCCACACAGTCATTCCTGCAGTTGTGGTTGCCGCCATCTTGTTGATTGCAGGTATCATAGCAATGGTCTGCTACAGGAAAAAGCGAAAGGGCAAACTGACTATTGAAGACCAGGCAACCTTCATCAAGAAAGGTGTGCCGATTATCTTTGCAGACGAACTAGATGACTCAAAGCCGCCTCCCTCTTCTAGTATGCCCTTGATTCTCCAGGAGGAGAAGCCCCCGCTCCCGCCACCTGAGTACCCCAACATGGCCACACCAGAGACCACTCCCCTCAACCAGGAACTACTGGGGGAGTACACGGCTCTGCGGGACGAGGACCCCAATGCTCCTCCCTATCAGCCACCACCTCCATTTGCTGCTCCCATGGAGGGCAAGGGCTCTCGCCCCAAGAACATGACCCCCTACAGATCACCACCACCCTATGTGCCCCCCTAAGACTTACCCAAGCCTCTCCTGAGAGAGGGGAGGATGGAGCGGATGCCTGACGGCTTCCATTCTGGTAACTGACTGGACATTTACAGGAAGTGACGACAAAGAGGTGCTAAAGTACAACTACAGCTACAAAAGTGGGAGGGAGGGGTTGGTCTGGGAGGGTCAGTGATGGAAATGGGCGGTGGGGGGGTTAAAGTGGACACTTGGTGTCATGGTTTCAGACAACTGGGTGGGACTACTTTTTTACGTGGTAGCCCAGCTGCTACAGTGGCCTAAGACAAACAAATTCTCGTCAGCACTGGCTTTCGGGGTCGACCACTTGGTCCGAAGCAACAATTCAAGAGATGTGGTCTCTCTTCCCAGCAGCATTTCACTTTTTGGATTTGGAAACCGGCTTTAATTTTAACTAATTTCTCTTCATTTTTTGGACTGAACCATTTGCCAAATAACTCCTGTTTTTTTAAGGAGGTTCTCTGAAAAGACACGTTTACCAGGAAGTTGGATCGGATCTGCAGATGGTGTGTTCACATGTATGAATGAGTGGGTGTGGTTTATCCAGATTCAGTATGTTTGCCTTTTAACACTATTATCCTTCGCTAGCAAAGATGAGAGTAAAAAGTAGCCTAAAAAGATTTAGAGTTAATTAATATTTGGTTTGTTTCACTTTATTTTCTCTATCTTTATTATTTACTGTATTTCACAAAGACGTCCAGATGGATTGTCCTATATTTTGTTTGGTGGTGGAAGAAAGGGATGGCGTAACCTTGTTAAACCTACTGGTGCTTTTTAATTTCCTGGTTTTCATTTATTTGGTACTTTCCAAAACTCAACTGCTGTCGAGGACATTTCAAATTAGATTGTTTGTATAAATAGAAAAAGGAGAAATATTTAACTTTTGATTTTTTCTGTTAAGACACGGACACAATCCCAGTTGGTTCCTTCAAATCTCTGTTTCCTTTTAAGTGACGCGTCCTGATGACTTAAATGCTTGTGACACTGTCGCCAAATTAATGAAGAATGTTACACCAATTTTAGTTTATACAAACAATTCATGCATCAATCCGTCCTCCTTCACACGGTGCTAACAAGAAAACTACAGCCAGCGTTTAGTTGCTAAATATTTATTTAACTTAGGTTTTGTAAAAATCACTGCTTCCTATCCATAAGAAACTTGTGGTTTCTGCTAACAACCCCCCTAACATGTTCATGATTGATTTACTTATGCAGTCTTTCTGACATTACAGTGTAGCATCAACAGTCCAGTAAGGGGCAGTAGTGTATTTTCTGGCTTTGTAACGACTACGACATGAGGCTAAAGCTAGCTGACAGGAAAATAAAGCAGTTTATATTCAGACAATATTTCTCAACACCACTTTTAATTTGTCTTGGCCTAAATTTGGTGACAGTGTTGCTCGTTGATCTAATCAAATATTTTTTTGATTTCACATAAAAAGTGTTACATCATCAACATATACAGGGAAAAAAAGTCCTGAGGTTAATTTTCTTCAGTGAGATATTTATTTTTGTAACATTTTCAGGCTGTTCTCTTCTCACAGACTGAGGGAAATTTTGATGTTGTTTTTAAATCATTTTAAAGGTAAAGACGAAAAGTACCATGAAATTTGTAGTAATTGGACCTCAAACATAACCATTTCATTTTTCTTTAACAATAATCCGTATTTAATTATTAAAAGTCACATTTAATGATTAGTCTTCAGTGATTTGTAAAATCGTAGGCTAGAAATTTACAGATTTTGATTCAATGATATAAACTTATCCTTTTGTCCTGGGTCACAAGTGTCACACGTTTTTATTTGATTGTATTTTATTTGACCTGGTTTGTGTTGTTGCATATGGAAACGTATCTGCACAGAGACTGAAAGACTGGTCTCTTCACCTTTTACACCTTTTATTTGACGCTTTTATCGAACCACCAGTTTCTACTCAGAGTGACCCTTTGCAATAACGATGATGACGTATGAACTTCTCTTGTCATGTTGTTGTTTGTTTTTTTGGAGGATGCCAAGGCTTTTTTTTTTGCTTATCGAGTGTTGCATTGTCATAATAAAACCCACTGGTACGAATTAAATAAACGCGCATCTACTTATTCCTGCTCACAAACCAACCATGTTTTAACAGTCGTACGTGACCTTAAGATAACAGATACAACGGCTGCTGTGATTATTAACAATAGTTGACCAGGGCTTAATCTGTAGGCATGAAAATGGTTTTAACTCTGTTATTTTGTTATAGCAAAACAAAATAAAAAACTTTGGATGAAGTAGCCAGAGTCCATTGAGAAAATCAGTGATTTAAGCTCACATGGAAACTGCTCCTTCTTCTCTGTGGGGTCTTGTGTGTCTTCACTGCTTGAAATATTTTGATCTGATTTACTTCGTTGACACAAAGAGACCACAGCAGTCTAGCAGCAGTCTAGCAGCAGTCTCCTGTGAGCTAAAATCACAGATTTTTTTTTCATGGATTCTGGTCTGTGAGCTGCCGTTTTATGAACGTCACTGTGTCTAACGGTGAGATGAAGCCGATGATTTTCTGGCTCCAGTATCTTCAGCCTAGTGCTGTGAATCATTTCACTACATTGTTACGCTCTCCTCTGCAGGATATTTTATCGTGAAGCACACATGATGGTCCAGAATCTGATCTCTGTTTTTTATGGCAGCACAGCAGCTGATTTTTATTTTGGGAGTATTTTGGTGGAAGCGCCGACATTCATTCAACCTGCACTTGGTGTCAGAGGAATCGTTTCTGAGGAAACAAAGAAATCTAAAATGACTGCAGCGAAGGAGTCATTAGAGGGGCCTGTTTTCAAATATTCACTCATCAACTGCGGGAGCACAGAGACACTTTCCTCCAACTGAGATGTTTCTTCAAGAGGTTTTACTGCAATAAAACCTCAGACAATCTCAGACCCAAGAGCTGCAGGGAAAAAGCCATCTGCAGAAAACGATGTTCACAAACTGAACAGCTGAGGCTCAGATGTTCACTGACGTGTCAGTGGGAGTATATATACAGTATATATGTACATATATATATAGCCGTCCCTTGCTGTATCTCAGTACATTTTAATATTTTAAATGTATTGCAGATTTTTCACTCTATCGTGGTTTTTTGCAGAATATAACACTTTATATATTATAAATGTAGGCATTTTCTAACCTAAGTAGAAAAAAACAGTAAAAATAAATTAAATAAGTTAATTGCAAGAAATAACCTGTACGTATGGGTAAATGAGATTTGTGAACATTTCGTTTTTTTATACATATATACAGTACATACTGTATATGTATACATATATAAAGATATATGTATACATATTAGTCACACTTAAATACAAAGTCCCAATTTTAAGAACAGATCTAAAAGCCAAAAAAACTCAGAACATAGTTTCAGTAGAAATTACTATACTCGTCAATTTCTATTATAATTAACTCAACTAAACGTTAGCTGCCCTTAGTGTTAAACATAGCTGCAGTACCAGCTTACACCCTGTGGTGTCTACATGAAGACGTTTCAGTTGCCTGCCATCGTGTCTGGCTTTGTCTCGTCGGTGTTGGCCCTGTTTAAGGAGCACGAGCAGCGCTGGGACTGAGCTTCTATAAACATTAGTAAAAGGCATCAGGAGGTCGGTTAGCTCTGCTCGCGTCACCGCACATCACATTTGTTCTTCTGCTGCTGCTGCTGCTGCTGCTGCTGCTGCTGCTGCTGCTGCCGCCACATCAACATCAACACATTGAGTGGAATAAAGATGAGACTGAGAGGCAGTGTGGAAGAGAAGGAGCAGATCTTAGAGCCACACAGCTGATAGAACTGCATCAGAACCCACAGAGCCTTCACCGAGTCAGACCACGGCAGAAGTCTGTGGCTCTCAGTGAGTGACAGTCTGTTGACTGATGGAAGAGGAAAATCCAGAGAACCACAGGTGCTTTTTACTCCCTGGCTAACATTTAGTTATATTTTACCTGAGGTTAAACAAACATTATGAGTTTAAAAAGCTAATGAAGCTATTCATGGTTAGCATTACCAGCTAATGAAGCAAAACTGTTGATGATTTAGCGTTCCTTTAGAACTCACTGCTCCTGGTCCTAGCTTAGCTAACAGAGCTGCATCGGTGTGGTAAATAAAATACTTTATTCTCTCTTCCCTCCTACATCCTCAGTATCATGAAGTTTATTTAATTTGAGTAAAATATAGAGAGTCAAGTCAAACATTGTGAGAGTTTCAGCTACCTACCCAACGTTAGTTAGAAACATTAATAAAAGGTGGTTTCCTTCTTTTATTTGTACTATAACGTATAAATGTCTTTGCTATACATCAGACAATTTTATTTTTACTCTTCATGACATCACTTCCTCTGAATGAAATGACTTCCTGTTGTTGTTTTTCCTGTTTGTTGGACCTGTGAAGCAGCTCTGATTGTCAACGGTAAAAATGTAAGTTTGGAATTGGATTTCACTCACATTTACAATCATTTATGAAAAGGTTGTATGTGAAAAAAAAACAGACAAACAAATAATTTGTGTTTATCAAAACACTGCACCTGCTGACTGCAACAACTAAGCCGCTAGCATGCTAATTATCACACACAAGTGATACGATAACAGCATTTCGAGGCAAAATAAACAAATAACGTTATTAACAAATTCTATTTTGACTGACTGGGGCAGTGGTGGCTTAGTGGTTAAGTGGACTTGGGTCCAGAAGTCTTCAGGTTCTAGTCCACCAGCTGCCAAGTCACCACTGAGGTGCTCTAAACATGGCCCCGTCCCCCCACACTGCTCCCCTGGTCCTTAAAGCTGCCCACTGTTCACTTTGGTGATGGGTTAAAGCAGAGGTCAGAGGTCACAGTTGGTTGTGTTTGGTTGCAGTGGTGAGCTGTGTCACAACGACAAGGAGTTCACTTTCCTTCCATTCGTTTATCTGGCTGACCTTGAGTCATGTTTGCTGACATTTAGCTTCTTCTAGGACAAATGGATACTAAATATTTTTTTATCCAGTCTAGAAATCTTCTTTTCCCCTGAACTTTAAACTGTTGATGACACACTGTTATTGTTGTTCTGTAGATCATTTATGTTGAAGGTGCTTTTAAGTATTTTGTTATCTTATGTTCTTTTTCTATTTCTTTATGGTTTCTTCATGAGGTTTCACCCTGGGTTTTCATTGTTTTTATGTAGCATTTGTAGACAAATATAAATATATGATTGTGTTATCTGAATATATAAATATATGAATAAGTGGGAGCAGGTTTGGAGCTGTAGCGGTTAAAGAAAAGAACACCTGCTCTGGACCAATCAGAAGAGAGGAGAGGAGAGAGCTCCTGAAGGAGAGACTCAGGAGAGAGGAGAGAGGGTTGGGGGGTTTATTTGAGGTGGTGTTGTGACTGAGCTCAGAGACAGAGATAAGAGGATGAATCTCCAGAGGAGGAAACTTAATTAAAGATTTTTTTTTTAAAAAGAGTGTTGTTGAACTGAGAGGAGTGAGGAAAGAAGGAGTGAGGAGGTGTGGGCAGGATGCCCAGAAAGAAGGAGACAAAGCTCGTGTTCCAGAGGGAGCAGAAAATATAAATGAATATAAATAAATCATTTAATTCAATGAAATAAAATCGTTGGTGTTTAGGTAGAAAGACCAAAGGAGCTTCTGGCCCACTGCTGCCTCCTGTGGTCAGTTTATGTCACTGAGGTTATTGAAAAAATATTTCCAGCTAGAAAGTCAAAATATAACCCAGTTTACCTTAGCGGTGGATCAACAACAGTCGTGTTCCAATGGGATCAAATCAATGTTTTTCTGTTTGGAACCAATGGAATCATTTTGTTTTGTCTCTTAAAACCACTACAAATACACTTCACTTGATTAACTACCATTATTGCCTCAAAGTCTATAGAAAAAAAATCAGAACTGACAGCAGGGGGGCAGCGTTGCGTCAGCCGCTCATGTGTACCTGTTAGCTAAAATCACTGATGTCACTGACTTTGGTGCGGCAGAGTGAGTGTTTTTTTTTGTTTTTTTTGATTATCAGTCATGTGTACCTGTTAGCTAAAATCACTAAAATCATTTGATGCTGAAAATGTCCTGATGATGAGATAAAATCATCAACAAATATTCACATATTTTTGCTTGAATTGAATTAAAATGACCCACTTTTTTGCTAAAGGTGCAGTGCAAACTTTTAGCTTGTTTTGATTAATATCAAGTACGTTTGGGGTAAAAACACATGTGCGAACATTTTCTTAAAATATCTATTTTAACTATATGTTGTCTGTCTAACAACTGATTCTTAGACAATAGGAAACTAAGATTCCTGACCTCTTGGCCCTGTGTGTTTACAGGAATTTCCTCCTGAAGTATCAGGTTAAGAAGTATTTGAGTATAAATGTATAGTCAGAGTGTGAGCTGTTGTTGACTCAGTGATTCACCCAGGACTGTGGTGACATTTACACTGTCAAAATGGGTTTGGAAGAAATGTTGAACTGGCTGATGATTTATGAGCCACTCGTAAATAAATTCTGAGTCAAAGTATCCCGCTGCTGCTGCTGATGCTGCTGATGCAACTGCTGCTGCTGCTGCTGCTAAAGGAACTGCTGCTGCTGCTGCTAAATGTTATTGCTTACTTTGCTGCTGCTGATGTTATTGATAAAGCTGCTGTGATGCACTGCTATTGCTAATGCTACTGCTGTTGCCAAAGCTGCTGCTGATATTGTCACACTTGCTGATGCCCTTGTGAAATTTTGCTGTTGCTCAGGCTGCTGATGATGCTGCTGCTGCTGCTCGGCTCATTATTTACTGCAAACGTCTCCATTAAAAACGTCTTTGCAGCTGTCACAACACAACACACACACACAGACACACACACACACAGTCCTGATGAAACTTTCTGGGTTTATTTCTCATCTCACATTTTGTGTTGCGTTATTCTGCTGAATTTGGGCTGAGGCCCAAACTTTCTTGTCAAACTGTAGCTCTTCTTCATCAAACATCAGTGACTTTAGCTCCCAGACCAAAGTCCATAGAGAAAATCAGTGGTTTGAACTCACAAACACACAGTTGATGATCCACTCCATCATCAAGTTCAAACATGTTA